CCGTCTGTAGCACCATACACTGAGGATTTGTGCCACCTTGCCTACAATATAGAGGGAAGTCTGTGATCGCCAATAAGACACACTTGTACAATTAAGTTGTGGTATATTATTTCCGGAGTCACAATGTATTGCACAAGCACGATCACCAATTGCGTGTTTTGTTTCACGTATTCAACCATACTGAAAACCACTGGGCACGGTCAATTAGTTGGTGTCAGATATCGCCTATAAGACCACATGCGACCAATGAATTCATTAATTGTTCATTAAAGCAATGCGAATGTTATGAGTAGTATGCTTCTTCAGCCTCTACATTTAACGTCTACGTAGTGTCTCAATTGGTTCACGTAGAAGCCGTCACAGTCTGCAAAGCATTTCCAACATTGCCGTTCAAGCCTAAGACGCCACAATATACCGCTCATGTGCGTTGATTACTGAGCGAAATGTTAGTGGAAGCAAAATGCTTAAGTCGGGCACTCACTCCTTGAGGCAACAGCTTGTTATTCTTCCACCTCGTAAACTTATTCAGCTTATACGATTCAACGAGGTTGGATCAATTACGTGCCTATAGTGCAGCCACCAGTTCCATGTTGGTTCGCAGTGAAAAATCCTGTTCTTCCAAATTAATCAAGTACTTCCAAGTGGCATGATGACTCAGCGCCTGTTTCGCACAGATGACCTGTGGTAGCAGGGCACTTTCGTCGTCCCAATCCATCGCAGTTCTTTCTTCTTCTGGAACCAATTCTACATTGGCACCAAAACATGTAACCACTCCACGCATAGCCAATTGGAATTCGATGCTTGAGCGCTTGTCGATGTGAATGCAGTAGTAGTTGTTAATTCGATAGATCATTCGAAGAAGTCGAGCGATCTGAGGCATTTCATCGTGGACCACCAACGTGAATGCTATGTCCATATCAGCCTGGGGGTCGACTGCGATAGGGAAGACCTGTCGAAACTGGCGGCAGTATGGGTGAGCAGGAGAAATGATTTGGGCGAAGTCTTCCATCGTCTCCGGTTTGAATGGAATGATTGGTTGGATTCCTCTATGTTCAAAATAATTTGCATTTTAACAAACAGCAGTGTTCCATTTGTTAATAGTGTGAGTAGTATGCCAAGTCGATGTCGACGGACACGTCGGTAAGCGAGCTGAATACCTAAAATAATGACCACAAATGACTTTATTACTTAAACGTTGGAAGTAAGTGGTCTT